CAATTATCTCTTCTAGTTACGACCTTTGTACTCGGTTGTTGCTTGACGTAGGTTGCTAAGCCTTTTAAAACTTCACACGTGGAGTACATGAAACGAAATAATTTTTTTTAGGTTTTAAATATACAGTTGAATAACCAGTCATAAATTACAATATTGATACCATAGACTTCCACTATAGTTTAGCAAGCTTAGTAACTAAGCTGTATTTGGGTCTAAAAAAATATGTAATTTTGAACAGACCAAAAACAACCCACCTCCTTGAAATCTACATTAGAAAGTACGAGACAGTGTTCTAACATTTTAAAATGCCTGAGAAAGCCACAAGGGGGACATTCTGAGCTTTCGATTGCTTATTCACATCAAATATTGAAGTAAGTGTATATAACGGACCATTTCTAAAATTGGAAAGAGGTGAACAGGGCCACTGTGTTTGATTCACTACATGACGATATCTTGGCAAATAGAAAAGATACAAGGTTATTTTACATTCTAGCTCATTAATATTGGTAATTTGAGTTCCTAATTCATACAAAACTATACAATTAGTGATTTGACATCAGAAACATCTAATTTGAACCAATGCTGCATTCAACATATCACGACACACAAACATTTATATTTAACTGTGTGTTAAATTAAGACACTGAATAATGTATAATAGTAAAATCTAAATTATAATCTCTAGTTTGAATACACGCTTATTGACATAAATTCATAAAATAGTAGTTCAATAAAATTTTGAATGCGAGTCAACAAACGAGATGACATGGCCTTTGACCCGTGACCAGTTCGGAAAGGGTTAAACAATATATGATGGGTGGTCAGCAAAGTTGGTGCTCTCTCTGCAAGATTGAAAAAGTGCCACAATGCACCTGGAAAGCATCAAGACAGAAAAAGATAGTGCTTTTGCAATTGCTAAGAATTTGCTGAAAAACTCACTGATTCCAAATTTGTTGACATGCTTCATTTTCTCTTGGCCTACCTTGGAACAATTAAGAATCTTTCCCTTTTGTTTTAAATGGAAGAACATTTTCTCAGCACAGTTGAATTGTATATGAAGAACAATGACACCACTTGAATCACTTAAACATGGTCCAGGACAACATGAAGCACTCTGGAAGATTATGGGGTCAGTAAGATAACAACATTGGTTCAGCATTTCCAGAAACGACTTTCACCACCAAACACGTATGAAAAATGTATATAGGCTCTCCGTAAGGAGTGATATGAATTCAAAGTCCACAGTAAGGGAAAAAAACTGAGCGATCTTCTGGATTTAGTACTGGCTAATAATGAAAAGTTTCCAATTTTAAGAGTATTGTTGTCGATAGTGTCTGTACTGCCTGTATGTTGTGAAAGAGGATTCAACTTAATAAATCTTATGAAAAATAAATTCAGATCATCAATGGAAGAAGAAAGTTTAAGTTACTTATTGATGATTAACATGAATGGCCCATCAGTGAAGGAATTTGATCCTGCAAAGGCTGTGAACCAGTGGTACTTCAGTTCCAAATCTACAAGGCATGTGCATGGCCACAAGATGCCAAATGAAAAATAGTGGAAGTGCAAAGCTCATTTGTCATAACACATCAGAATATGTTATTTTGTATGACATAAATGTGTATAAAGTTCTTGTCTATGTTTGTTTATATGTAAAATATAACTTATACCATTCAATGGTGGAACATGAAATTCTTTTGGTAGTCATTAAAACATAAAACCCTGAAAGATGAAAAACTTGTTTGGCTCCTAGATGCAAAGCAAATATGTTAAACCCTGGTCTAAGGTTCTCATGATTTTATAAATCATGTTTGAACAATTACTATGAGTTACATCAATACAATAATAAATGGTAAATATAAATCACAAATTTCTTTCTGGATTTCATTGCAATCTTTCCAAACCCAATGTTCTTAGAAATCCGAGTTGGCTAATCTTAATTTCTGAAACTTAAAATAGTTACACTCTTTATTAACAGTTTCTTAAGCCAGATATATTTAACAATGTGACTACATGGTCCCTCCTTTCATAATAAGTACAAATAATTATGAATTATAATTTATATATATAAAATAATAATATTGAACAGTATCAATCTTTCCAAATACATGAGACAAAAAAAAATGGCAACTAGCTTTTTCCAATACTACATGTATAGAAAAGAATAAGAAATTTAAATAAATTTAAACTTTGAATAGTGCATATATAAATATAGAATTGTTTTGTCCAATACTTACTGGTAATATTGAGAGGTTGACCACTTGATCCGAGGCCTTTTCCAATTCCTTGAAGACCACCTGAACGAAAATCATTCAGATTGATACCACATCACTAAATTGTTTCTAAATAGAATCCTCAATAATGAAATACCCATTAATTGAAAATAATTTTATTTTAACACACATCCTAGAATATTTCATTTTCAGTTAAATTTCAGCATTTTCAGTTTATTTTTAATGTTTGTATGCCTACTGTTTGTTCCACTGTCAATTTATTGAACTTTGGAAAAGTTCTATAACCTAAAAAAAAATAGGAATCTGTGATATCTCACACAAAAAACTGATGCACTTAAACTAAAACCCAAGAGTATCATCATCACCACTTATAGTACATTATAGAGGCCTCATATAAAAGGAGTACTTTTCATATCTTGCAAATTTAATTTTGATATTAAACCATTTCTTAATATTTCAATAAGTTATAGCATTAGAATAACAAAAAAACATACCTGGTAGCTTCGATGGTAAACCATCAAATTCATCATTCATTTTATCCTATGGGGTGGAAAAAAACTAAGTCAAAGACATATAGATTTTGAATCCTATTTTAAACAAGGGATTTACATAAATATTTGAAAAATTTCTAATAAACAGTTAACACATACAAGGTGTATTCTGATATATAAAACTGAAACCATAGAACTGTTGTCAGTAAATGATGTCTACAAAGGAGTTCTTAAAAATTTATTAGGAATTAAATACATACATTTTATTAGTAATTTGTTCCTCATACAAATCCAACCCAGAAGATTAAAAGAATCATACAACTTCAAAATTTTCAATACAATGGTAGCAAATTACCCATTAAGAAAACTATTTTTACGATTAACAAAATTTTCATAAACTTATTATTACATGCACATTGATTTTGTGCTATTAGTATATATTCTCAGAGATTTGTCCAACAGAATACATACCATTCGAACACTCATGGTACGACTATACAGCTTCTGGTTATTAAACATGGCTGAATCATGATTAAGGACATACCAACTTCTATTGTTCTATGTGTAAACAAATATAATTCAATAAAAAGATAATCCACTTCTTCATAACATTCTCAAAATTATAATTAATTTTTAGCAGTAATTTATGCAGAATAGATACCATTGTGAGAAGGACTATTTCTCAAGTTTAAAATTGTCATATTTAATTATTTCAACTCAATTTCCCTAAATTTTAATTTTTTAAAAACTAAATCAAACTATTTCAGCAATTTCTACAGAAAATTTTTGTACATATAACAAGTTCAAGCATCTGTTTTACCACAGCAATTGTTTATATTTACAGTTATGATACTCTCTTCTGAAACATATTTCATTGCACTTCACTAAATGTTTCAAAATGTTATTATTTCAAGCTTCTGCCTTCAAGTTCAAATACATCATTTACCTAAAGAAAAATTCATTATCTTTTGAAGATGACTACCTAGATACTGCCAAAGAAAACCCAAAAATAAAAGAAAGAGAATTCCCTTCCTCACCAACGTAAAAAATACAGTACCCACTCTGTGTTTCATACTTAAACTGAGCAAAAAAGAAACTGAAGGATACAAATGGCCTGCACAGCTTCAGCGGGATGTTCATAAGAAATAACACAACAACCCCTGCTTCCTCCATCTTTATCCTTTTTAAGATCGACTTTGTTCACCTTGCCTGCCAACTTAAAAATCTCTTCCAGTTTATCCTCTGTTACTTTGTATTCCAGCTGCAAAATAGTTTTGTTCAAAATATATATATATTTATATATTTTTTGCATCAAGAATACTTAAAAACTAATTGATCAAAACATATCTGTAAAATACACCTTCTGTCATTTCTTCGTAACCTAAGATATGAAAAAGTCGAGGATAAAAGTAAGACTTATATATATATATATGCAACATGAAAGTATTTAAAAATAAAGTAAAAAAATCAGTCACATATTCCAGTTGCATTGGAAAACTTACTTTTATCTGGTATACAAGTAGAGCTTATAGGAGCGGAAAAACAGCACAGCAGTGAAGACTAAAAATCTAAGAAACCAAAGCAAACCCACAAAATCGTAGTAAAAACAATCATTGTTCTATATCATTTAAATGCACTTTTAAACAGCATCACAATAAATAAGCTTCATTCATTCTCTCTGTTTTTGTATCCAGAAAAAGTGTTCTATGAAATAACTGGTTTAAAACCAATTAATCTTATTAAAGAAGTGGTGTGTAGTATATTTACTTAATCCTCACAGTTATAGCAGAACATTTTCTTTATCTAATTCAAAAAAAATTAAGCTACCTTCATCATCATAATTAGATATCTATGATTTAATTAAGAAATGGGCATGGATTAACAATACTAATTACAACTTTAAAGGCAAGCAGGGGCAACAGAAATAAAAGCTGAAAAATAGCTTGTCTAACTATAGCATTGCTCTGCAGTAGAGATCATTGTCCATATAGATAAGAATTGTAATAACATGTTCCACCCTTCCTTTACATGTGCAGCTTACTGTGTGCTTCTTTGTCCTCTCAAACTCACTTTGAGAAATCAATTAGACCTGGAATCACCACAAATGGCAAATAGTGTTCACTAAAAAAGCACACATTAGTAACTTGTGGCCTGCCACAAGACCTGTTGTGCTTATCCTCCCTTTAGTTGCCTCAGCACATGGAATAGTTTGGTTACTAAGCTGCGTGGAGCATAATATGACATGCAGTATATCTTTCCTATGGTGATTACAAAGGACCTTTTTTGCCATTGATTCCATAATTTGGACAGCAGTTACAAACAACATAAAAACACTGTCCAAGAATGTCAATTTTTCATACTCACTGTGCATATGGCCTATTTCAAGAATTTCTTTGCACCACCATTCATTTTTAACAGATTTTATCAATAAGTGTTACATAATCTCTACGTTTCAAGAAAACCAACATGGTGAAACCTCCATCATACAATCACACTGCTAATGACAATGTGAGTAAAAAATGAGAGCAATAAACCAGAGTTAACAGAAAAAACATTTGCTACCCAGGGGTGCATTATAAAACTAAAAACAAAACAAGGTGTGTATGTATAGTAATACAAGAAATGTTGCTCTGAATTTTTCACTGTTGCCCAGAATTTCTAACATGGAAACTGTTTATAGATGCAAAACTCCTACCTCTGTTACAGTTAGACATACAAGTTTATGAACAATATTGTACTATTTATCGATAAATATCTTTCATCTCCAGAAGTTATTTCACAGCATCCTAACTATAAAAATCATCATCAACTATCAAGTGAAATGTTTTATGATACAATCAAAAGTTTAGAAAGAATACCAATTTAAGTGTTAACAACATAAAGTAATGTATGATAAAAGGTGTAGCAAGCATGTTTAATAGTAACATTAAGATAGTATGTTATAAAGAAAGAATAGAATGAATGTATAAACCAATGCAAGTTTAAGTGAAATGTCAAGAAAAAAAGAGAGAGAGGAAGGATTAGATTAATGTCAACAGGAAAGAGTTGCTGTTACTATTCAGTGTTAAGTGATCACTGGAAATGAAAAGGCTTTCTTTAATAAACCTTTTATTTATCCAAAGCTTCTCACTTAGTAGCTGATATCTACTGTTGTAAAAGCCAACACTTATGGAGTTATAAACAATTTCAAAATATATGTAATTAAATACTTTTCTTTATTACCAGTAATTGTGAAATATTTTTAAGCCTAGCCTAACTACCATAAAAAATTAGGAAATAGATCTAAGTTACACTTTTTTCGTTCTAGAATGACTACAAATTATAACAAAACCACAAATGTTTATTCTAAATAGCTTAAATCTTATAACATTATACATCTATATATTTATTATTTTTATTTTATTGAACTTTTAGCCATGTCTGACTAACATTACAGAAGTTGCACATGTTACCATATCTAATAGTATAAGATGGGCCTTTACAAAGTGCAACTATCTTATCTTTGTTCTAGTGTAATATACAATCACATTTCAGTTATAATACATTATATATGTATACATATTACAACTACTTACAAATAAAGAAATATAGAAAACAATAATCTCTTCTACTTATGAAATTTGTGCTTGCTTGCTGTAATTTGCTAAGCCTTGTTGAATTTTTGTAGGTTTTATATATGCATTTTGAAATTACAAAAAAAATCATAAATTACTATATCAATACCACTCAATTCCACTGTAATTTATCAGGCTTACTAAGCTGTATCTGGATATAAAAAAATATTTTTCAATCATCATTATGTCTTGCCTCTTCTTTGCAAGTCTACAACAAAGTTTTTCCTGCATAAGCACTTTGCAAAGACTAATAAAACCATGTGGAGGAAAGTCTGTGCTTTCGACTGGTTATGAGCATGTCAGAGATCGAAGTAGGTGTATATAAATAAGCATTTCCACAATTGAAAGAAGTGAGAGGGGGCCACCATATTTTATTTGCTATATATAATATCTCAGAAACAGAAAAGATAGGACATTCTTATTTTATATTCTAGCTTGTCAATATCAGTAATTTGAGTTTCTATTTCATAAAAAACTATAGACTTTCTACCTTGGACATCACAAACATCTAATTTGAACCAAAGCTGCATTCAACATACCACATGACACACAAAATTGATATTTAGGAATTTTGTTATAATATTTTCTTTTAAATTAAGAATTTACCTAAGGTATAATACTAAAATTTTAATTATAATCTACAATTTGATACCAAACTTATTGACATACATTCATAAAATAGTAGTTCAATAAAATTTTGAATGTAAGCCTACAAACATGATAATATGCCCTCTGACCCTTATCCATAGTGACAGGGTTAACTAATAGACAGCACTTTTTTCTTTAAATAGTTCATTGATGAATAAAAATAATAAAAACTGAACAACCATACTGTTCAGACATTCAAATCAGTAAAAAAATAAATAAATTTCTTGTTTACAATAAAGGGAAATTCTTATAACCTACAAATGACAAAGCTTGGTAAAAAAATAAATAAAAATACATACATTTGAAACAAAAACTCTGTTACACAAAGGTCCATCAATTCCAAGTGACCTGAGAAACTGTGGACTCAATCCATAAGTGTTGAATTGAGAGGATGTTTCACTTCCCATTCCTCCCAGAACTACATCCATCCCTCCTCCAAAGTTGCTATTTAGAGAAATAGTTCTTTCTCTGGTGCCTTTTAAAGGTCTACCATATCTGTCTCTCTCAACATCATCATCCTATAAACACAAAAAAAAACAAACGTGATATTAAGAGACACTGATATAAGCAATTAAGCACAAAGTTACACAATGGGCTATCTGTGCACTGCCCACCACGGGTATCAAAACCCAGTTTATAGCCTTATTTTCCCTTTATATTCGTGTAAACATTCACTGTAGGTGTGTATTTTTTTACTTTGGATATAAAAGTACATGCGTAATATACATTTTTTTTTACTCTTGAAGCTCTTAAAATTAAAAAATATATCAAATTAACATATTTATGTTTTTTGTTGATGGAAATCTAAAAAAATATGCTGCAAGTGAAATATTATTTTGTGAGTAATGTGTTTTAAAATATTATGTTACTGTTTACGTAATTTCCTTTATCAAATAGTTCTGATTCTTTATACAAGTTAATTTTTGTAAAAGTTCAACCAGTAACTCTTAGAAATGGATGATTCAAATGATTCCATTAATAAGCCATTCTGGCACAAAATCAGATGTAGGACATGTATCTCCATGTTTTCTTTTCAACATTCTTCTTTGAAAAGAACAAGATTTACAAGATTTTGTGCTGTCTTTGCCAAAAATGAATTAAAATAATTTATATTTTGATTTGTATTAAGTATGTTTGCACAACTAAGAAATAAACCAGACTCTATAAAGTGCTGCAATTTTCTCATTGCTTGTAATTCTTATGAAGCATGTTACATACTAACACTAACTTTAATGCAAAATCTTGTGAATTAGTGCTCAAAACATAAGAGCTACTTTTAGAAAAAAGTATTACAAAAAAATTCATCAGTTTAGGATTGTTCCACAATTCCAAAAGATGCAACTGATTCCAGCTCTAACTAAAAACTATGTCAGAAAAACAGGTCTATCCAAATGGTATGATTTCAAGAATTTCTTTGATTATGTCTGGAGGGTTGCCAGTCATTGTTCATTATGTGAAAAGGACAAGAGTGACATTTTCAGAAAATGTATGGTTATTCATTAGCTTGCATAATTCTATACAGTTTTAATTACTAGATGTGAAACAGTAAAATCAAAAGCTGTATCTCATTAAGTTCAGTACTCACAGTAGTCCTTTAACCTGGAACTAACCTTGGAACTGGTAATACTGGAGAGGAGATCCAACATTTCCACTCTACTGTTCAATGTTATTTTTTTATCAATACCCTATAGCAATGATTCCATACCTTTTTTCTAACTTATAACAGAGTTCTGATCCCAAAATTCCATGGACTGCTTTGTACCATACTAACTTTTTAAAATGCTTTTAAACTACATTGTAAAACAATATAATTCAATATCTAGATTTAATAACATTTTTCTTTCCAACCATCTTACAGATCATCGAAATCTTCCTGTGGACCAATAGCAGTCTAAAGATCAGTGGCTGGGAACCACTGTCCTATAGCACTTACTAGTCCCCTCCATAACTTAAAAAGATATCCAAAAATTTTAAACAAAACACTTTTAACTCTTTATACCTACACAAAGGGTTAATATTTCTTCACTGGAAAATAACTGATAATAATATTTTGAAATGTACCTTAAGCCTACATATCACCATTACCATATGGCCAGTTCTAACAGTTCTACACTTGGAGACATCACTGAAAAGAAAGGTTTTGCAACATTTTTTGCATATGTCCAATATATCTAGTACAACTATCAGTGTAAATTTAGTTACATCACTGACACTAAATATTGTAATGAATAATTCAATGTAATATAAGTATGTATGAAAAATATTTAATGATGATAATTTAATTTTTTCTTGCAAATTTGAAATAACAGGGATGCTCACATATGCACATACCCCACTCAGATGTGAGAAAATTATATACACTCAGCAATTCCATTAATAATTTTCAGATGACAATGTGTAATGTACCTGCAGAAGACATTCTTCAGAATGTAGAAAATTCTGGTTCTGAATGTGCTGCACTTTCACTATTGACAAGTACATTAGTGACAAAAACTGTAATAATGTGTATTAGATATATTGTAGATAAGGAAGTCAACAGTTAGATGAATCCAGTGTTGCAGGTACACTAAATTTTATCAATAAAGTTATTCAAGTTGGAGACTTCAGAATGGCTAACTTCATAGTTTTGGGCATAGATAGTGCTTTTATAATAAAGGCAATAAATCTGGAGTTGCTGCAAGGCTGAATGATCCACAACTATTTTTGACAAGCCTATATTGCTTAACTCATAAACTGGTATTTCATAGTTCTTATGCAACAGACAAAAGCACACTATCCCATTAAATACCAGGAAATTATGTTTTCAAGTATTTCCACTATTCTGCAAAACCGATTTTGAACCTAAAGAAAGTAGAGCATAGTTTACAAAAGGCAGAAGTAAGTTTACAAACAGGTATTTACTAGTTGTTGGCTATAATTTAGTGGTATATGAACTCACTTATAGAAACAATGAGTAATCTCTTTGCTATTATGAAGGATGATGAATCAAATTGTGAAGATTCTAGGCAACTGGTATGCTGAAAAAACATCTGTACATGTAAGCAATATCTAATCTTTATAAGATGCTTTTGGATTTTTGAAGAGATTGTGTTTGAATTTTCTGAATGAAAATATCCATTTTTGCTTGTAGTGTTAATGCTCTTATAACAGTCAAAGATAAGTCCAGTTCCTAGTCTGTGCTTACAAGGTGCTTCGTCTCAAGTTCCACAAGAAACACTCAAAGACAATAGAGGTCTGTACACATTCATATTCAAAGATCATACTATATCCGATGTGTTAAAATTAAAGGGAGAAACATTTAACAAATCCATGAGTTTGTTTGTTTACAATCTAGTGTCAAACTTCAATGATAGGTTTGTTAATACAGATATTATAAAAGCATTTAAAATACTTGATTCTAGCTTGCTGGCATAAAAATATGAATAGATGCTCATCTATGGTGCTGTTGAATTAGAAAAGCTCATTCAGCATTCCAAGAGTCCAAAAGGTTGCAGATGGATCATCCCAGGAGCTTTTAGTTTGGGTGAATTAACCCTTGCACAACAGTCTCGTGCAAGTTGCAGGAACCCAACTTTGGAAGGATACTTGTGCAACAATACATATGGTAGCTCTGAAATGTCTCAACATATTCTAAAAAAAAAACTGGTAAGATTTTGTTAAAGATCATAATATTGCCTCAGTTCTCAGAGCTTATGATCTTGTGCAAGTGTAAGATAATTCTGCTGAAGGTTGCAGACCTCTGCCCAAAATACTGTAATATGCACAGAAAACACCACTGAATTGTGTCAAGATGAAAAATAAATTGCAACAGACAGGAAAGGAAAATAAAAAATTATGTATATGTGAAAAGGAAAAGACCTGAAATTACAAATATAACCAAAAGACAATCTTTTAAGATATTCCACGAAAAATTAAAAGGTATGTATATTTTTCTATTTCTTAATTGTAAACATTTTATTGTACTGTATGTTGATGATAATATCTACAGTTAGTGATATGGCAGAGAAAATGAAAAATAAAATATAAACATTTATCTTAACTCTTTCAGCATGGGCTTAGTCCCTGGAACTGATCTCGTAACAATTTTGTGCTTGTTATAGTTTTCATGCTATAACTTTTAAATTAGTAAGTGAAAGTTAATGAAATTTGGCACATTATCAGTAAACATTACAATGCTTTCATAATAAAAAGAATTTGATATTTTGCATAAGTCTTAATGTTTGTAAAACAATGTTTTTCTCAAGCCATATTTATATTTTCTCATGTTTTCTATCTAAAATGCAAAGTAATTTTCATTTTAAGATTAAAATACTTTTATGCAATAGAAAATTTTCAGATTTCACATGCAAAATCTTTATAATGTCCAGATAGTTATCAAACATTTTTCTTAAGAAAAAACTTTATATTTTATCTGTTATTTTCAGCAATATCTCTGTACGGGTTCGGTAGATTTGACCGATCACGTAACCACCATAAAAAAATTAGGAAATAAATATAAATCATGCTTCTTTCATTCTAGAATGAACACAAATTATAACAACAAAACAAATGTTTAGACTAAGTAGGTTAAATCAGTCGTGGGAGGCAAGGCACACGAGGGGA